CAAGTGAGTAGCTGTTGTTCGACATCCCTGATGCGGCTGCGCTTGATGTGCATGTTGACAATGTGTCCATCTGTCTATTACCCACTACCTCGTCCCTACTGCATCCAGGAGACAGTTGGTCGTTGTTGGAGGGGACGGGGTGCACTGTCCTTGTGACCGTGCTAGACTCGAAGAGCGGTTCCATGCATTCAGTGTGGAGCGGACTACGGTCCAGCCAACGCCTTGTGTGCGCTTGATTCCCCAAAAAGAGCATGTATGTGTTTGCCTGTAAAGGAGTGTGGGCCGGCTCCGTTGATGAAACCTGGCTCCCCTCCACATGCCTCCCGGTGTTATTCCTTCGGGTTTACACTGGATGTGGTGTGTGTGGTTGGAGTTGTGGGTGTTGCAGCGCAAGCCACTCGTGATCCGTATGTAGACGCACGCGTCCTGTGGCTTGCCACATTGACACACAAATCGGAAACCGGATACCGCCACCGATGTATGCATAGGTAGATGTATTCGTAATTATGTTTAAGCAACATTTATTTATTATTACATTTATACATACCCGGATAAATGCGTGCATATATATATATATACATATATTAAAACCTGTGGATATGTATGTATATATGGATATATACATAGATTTCTGCTTAGGCGAAGGTGGTGTTCTGGAATCTTTCTCACCGCAGTTGGTCGAAAGCAGATTACACAAAGTGTGTATTTTTATTTTTCATACATTTTATTTAGCTGGACTTTTGTCGTATTGCAATTCCGGAATACGATTTTGTTAACCCACGCGTTGCGTAAGTTTTCGTGGGGATGTTCTTTAACGGTTGTCCCGTAACCGAGACATTTTTGAATACATTGTGGACATTTTCCATTTATCATTGACCAACATACTGTAGAGGACCGGGTGCAGGTCCGCTTGGCCTTGCTAAGCTAGAAGCGTGGTTTCATGTGCAGGATGAGGCGTTGTTATCTCAAGTGAGAGCTTGGGGTGATTTCGGGTGGAATTGCAAGAGTGAGGGAAATCATAGTTTTGCCACTGCACGCATATGTGTACGCTGCAAAGAAATGTCAATGACATAGTAGAAAAGGGGATCGGTTTGGAAACATAAGAAATGAGGTTGCATACGTAATAGCGCGCGGTTATCTAGATGCCAACAAGTGCAACCACGAGGGACGGCCAATAATCTGCGACCACTCGGTAATACTGATAGGCAATAGCAATGATTTGCTGTGTCTGTACAAGGGCACAAGGGAATCTGATTGCTCATAGCGTCCCCGTGCAATAATGCATGCCACCCGCCATTTACAACAATTGGTACAAGTCAGTTGCAGCGGCTATTCAGACGCAGGACACCACCGCGGATATTAAATAAGTTATAGCCATCAGCTGACGCAGTAACGGCGCTTCGCCGCCGCTTGACCGCCCTCAGGCGCGACTGGGCAGAGTATACCACGAGAACGAGCTACCCTAAGCAGATTCTATCCCGTGGCCTTAGGGTTGCAGGCTACGCGTGCAGGCCTCTCAATCACCGGTCGACCGCAGGAAAACTACAACAGCCTGATGTAGCGCCGGCCGCTTGGTTACCCCAGCAACTACAGAACAGGATGCCAAGGTGAACGAAGTTCTACGAGCGCGGGCCGAGGAGACTCCAAAGTCTAGAAACGGGAGAAGTAAGGTGCTCGCACTAGCAGAAATCGAAGGATATTAAAGGAAGTGATTGATGGAGAGCCGTAAGGGGGAGTAGTTTCCATGTCATGCTGGAGGCAGCAACATTCGTTCGCTGACTAGCCAAACCATGTCTTCGTGGGGTTAGCTGGGTTGTTCTGGTTAAACCAGATCTAGCAAAGGGTTCAACGGTAGTGTTTTAGGACGCAGTGAGCGTTTCGCTGGCAAGCTTTCTTTGTATAAAAGCAACAGTTGTTCGCGTATTAAAACTGCGACGTGGCGGATAGGTCTCGCCACAAACTAAAGTCACTGCTTATTGGAGATCCGGAGAAATGCTATTTAACCCACGGGCTGCTAACATTTATTCACACAAAATGCAGTGGCACACACACAATCACAAACTACATAGCTACATATCTACACACGTACCTTGGTATATAAACACATGCACACACATTCATGGTTATGCCAAACCTGTATTTTTGAGCATGTTAATTACACTATCTTCGCTTAACCTAATCATATCTACAAAGGTGAGGTTTGTGTTTTCGAGAATGAAAAGGCTATTTGTTTATCTATAAAAACCGAGTACAACAGAAGAGCAAGTAATGCTTGGGTTGCACTATGTGGTGATCCGCAGCAGTAAGCGGATGTTATACTTGTCACTGCGATTGTTACACAAGCTCATGCAATAGAAAACAGTATGGAACTAATGATACCAAAATTCGAAAACGAAAGAAAAAGGAGATAATAGGGTTTGAGAGACTGGTCGACCCTGGAAGGCTCGACGCCAGGAAACTAAAAGGCCACAGGTCTCTGGTACTTTGCGATGGGTCGGTAAACAGTTAAGTGAAAAATGCAAATAATGCGGCGCGGCGGACACGCAAATGGGACTAACGCGTATCGAAAGGCCGAAATAACAGACTGGTCGTCCAACTGATGGGTGGTCACTGACGACCAGTTGCTAGTTTGGGCAAACAGACTGCTTACCATCTGAGACGCAGATGGCCAGGGAAATACGACGAAGCCGGTACCATCCATGGAACACAGACGACGTCGAGCTGTAGTACAGGAATAGAGTGAATGATGGGGAAACCAGGGCCAGAGAAACAGAAAAAACGCACCTAATATAGCTGGCCAGGCGACAGGCTACCTAGTGAAAAATTGCGAAAGAAAACAGTGCACATTTTCTATAAATATGCGGAGCAACAAAAGGCTCTGCTAACCGCAAGCGAAGCCATTTTTGTTTGTCGTTTTTTAATACAACACAGGGAGGCCTATTTATACTTCCAGCGGGACTGCTGGACTTCCTGCACTGCCTGAATCTCAATATGTGCAAGTTAGTTTCATCATTCGTATTGCGAGTTTATAGTTCCTTAGTCACGTTCGTCATGTTGGTTCGGTAGTCTAAAGAATAAGCCAGATAATAAACGTTTTCTCTGCTGAGATGTGAAACCCTTTCGGAGCTACTGCGGCAACCTTCTGCTTCCTGCGGACAACTATATCAGGACGAACATTGGTGGTGTCTTGTAGCTTTCTCCCAAAGCAAAATGCAAAACCAGAAGGAAGCTCTTTTTATTTACTAAGGCAGAGAAGATTGACAACATGTTTTAAGTACATTTTAGCATCCTTATTCTTTCAGACATTGTCTACTTATTGTATTCCAGAGCATGTGTATATGCTCTCAGATTGTTATACGATAACTAGACACCTTTCGCAGGAGGGATGTTTTCATCCCTCATCATCATCATCATTATACACGTTAGCTAGAGGAGGGGAACACCTCAGCTACTGTGCCGCAATACCTAGGAAAAAAAGGAGAAAAAGCAACTGGTGCAAGCTGGCTGAGCTACCGGTAACGAATGGGAATCGTTCCGGTAAGCTACCAGCCGGCTGCTGTGCACCCAAAAAATTAGTATGCAAAAATTAAATAACGCTAAATAAGGAGATCATGGTTGGAGGGGGAGGCTAAGAGGGGTGGGGTGGGACAAGGAAACTCACAGCACGAACGCCACTGAGGTCGGCTTCTTGCGATATCAGCAAGTGTGTCCAACCAAATGTGTTCATCGTCTTTTGGACCCCAACCAGGGAGCCGAGACGCTCCAACCGAGGTCAGCTCAGAAGTGAGGGCCTTCATTCCTCTGGACCAAATCATCGCTTGGCCACCCCTCCTCTTCTTCCATCCACACCCCCGGCGCGCAAACAACACACGTCGCGGGTGTCGGTGGGCTGGCATGCGTAACACGTGGCCGGGGCATCGGAGCCTGATGCGTGAAATAGCGGTGCTGAGCGGTTCATTTCCTTTTCTTGTGCCATAAACAAGGCGTCAAGCACGCTCGTTGCTCACGCGGTGTTCCCACCAAATGTGAGCTAAATTACGAAGGCACAGGTGGTCGAAAGTAACTAGCCTCTTCAGGTCCGCTGCTTTAAGCGGCCAGGTTTCACAACCGTACAGTAGGGTCGAACGTACTGCTGCATTGTACACTCTACGCTTCAGGGTGAGAATGATGTCGCGCCGGCGCCATAAGTGGCGGTTAGCGAAAGCGCCCCGAGCTTTTGCTATACGATTCGTGATTTCATCTTCAATCCCACGGGCGTTGATACAACTTCCCAGGTAGTTGAATTTTTGAACGACTTCTAGCTGATCCCCTCCAAGGGTCAGCGTAGGAGGCGGTCCAGACCAAATTTGGGGGAACGCTTTGCACTTCGAGGGTGCGAAGCAAAGCCCGAAGTGACGGACAGCTACAGCTAATATGTCCATTGTCGCTTGGCACGTTTGTGAGCTGTCACCGATCAGGGCAATGTCATTAGCATACTCTAAGTCAAGAAGTCGTTCTCCTGGGAGTAGCTCCACACCTTCAAAGTCGTGTCCTGTGAACGCGTCTTCCATGACTTCGTCAACAGCGAAGTTGAAGAGGAAAGGTGACAGCGGGCATCCTTGTCTCACACAGCCAGAGATATTAAAGGGCAACGACAACTTGCCATAAGCCCTAACTCTGCCCGAGCTACGCGCATATAATGCTCGGAAAATATTCACATATTTCTCAGGTACACCTTTCTTGAGTAGACAATCCTAACTTGCATGTCTATCCACCGAATCGAATGCACCTTGTATATCGAGGAACACGGCAACGGTGGGCCGCCAATATATGTGACGGTGATCCAACAACTGGAGCAAGGTGAAGATGTGGTCAATGCAGCTACGACCTCGACGTAATCCAGCTTGCTCTTCCCGAATCTGGCTTTCACGCGTGCCAGTCAGTATGTGAAGGATGACAGAGGCAAGCGATTTGGAGGCGATGGAGATCAGACTGATTCCTCTATGGCTGCCGCATTCCGATCATGAGCCTCCTTTGAAACTTGGGACTATGATGGAGCGATTCCAATCGGTTGCGACAGTTTCCTGCTCCCACAGTCTCACTAGTAACTCGTGTAAATTATCCACAAGAGCAGGTCCCCAGAATTTGAAGAGGGCTGGAGGAAGGTCATCAAGTCCCGCGACTTTATTTAACTTCAACAGTTTGGTCTCATGTTCGACTTCTGAGCGAGACGGTGGATCCAAAGGAACAGCGCAGTGAGCAAGGCGTTCACTGGTCGGCGAGAAATCTAACAACTCCGACCGATTAAATTGCCTTTCAAACTGCTCAGCCCAAGGTTCCAGGCGTTTTGCTAAGTTGTGGATAGTCTGTCCACTCTCGTCACGTATAGTTTCACTAACACCTGGTCTCCTGCTGCCCGTTTCCCGTATAAGACGGAATAATTCACGATGGTTACCATGGGCAGCGGCCATTTCCATCACTGTTGCACGACGAGACCACCAGGATTCGCGGTCTCTCTTCAGGCTAGCACGGAGTTTTGCCCGGAGCGCTTTGCGAGTTTCATTGTGTTCGCTTCCAGCCAGAATATGCCGGCGAGCATCTATAAGTTCCAGAGACTGTGAAGAGACCCAATGTTCATGTTGGCGATTAGACATAACACATGAGGATTTTCCTGCTGCTAGTAAGGCCTGTTGCATATGAGACCAGTTAGCATCAATTGCATCCAGTGAGCGTTTATCCAACTCGCATGACAGCGTACTTTGATCGGCATTCAGAACAGCTGGCTTTACCAGTCTGCCGGTGTTAATGCGCTCACAACATCATCGCGGGCGTCCGCCAGAGCGCATCCGCAGGTCAGCACATGCAAGTGCATACTCGGTGTCAACACCTGTGCTCCAAATCGAGCGACAGTTCTGGATGCAGCCTCTCCAGCGGTAACTTATCGCAATGTGATCGAGTTGCGTCCATGGCTGGTTCGAGGCTGGTGGGCGCCAAGTCACGCTCCGGCGGGTGCTGTGTCGGAAATTGGTGCTCGTAAGAAATAAGCGAGCATCCTCATACAAATGAAGTAGCCGCTCACCGTTATCATTACGGGAGCCTACACCATGTTGGCCGCCCAGATGCAGCTCAGCCGTGGATAATTTTCCAACTCGAGCGTTCAGATTCCCAGCCAGCACTACAGTGTCCGAGCTTCTCCTGTGGCGAAGGATTTCATTCAGTTGGCGATAGAAGTCGTCTTTTACCGAGTCATCGCTACAGTTTGCCGGTGCATAGGCAGCGATAACGAATAGACACCTGTTAGTCCCACGCGACTTCGAAGTTTTGAACGAGCCAGCCAATCGGATTGCACACATCCGGCTATTGATTGGAATCCAATCAACCAGAGCAGTTTCAGCCCGGGGACTCAGGACAATACCAACACCGGCTTGGCCGGTGCTAGAAGCTGCATCGTCGCCGGATAGCCGCAATGAGAAAGTGCTGCCTGCGTCACCTGAAGGGATCGCTGAGTGAGTAAAGAGCTCGAGTCTTGCCGGTGTGTCTCCGATAAGCAGCAGATATCGATGGAGAGGGTCTCTAATGTTCGGGCAGTTGCTGCCTGTTCACCGATCTGAAGCAATGTGCGAACATTGAGGCATGCTAGTCAGAAGGAGGATGGAGGGCTCCAAATGAAAGCCGATGAACTTGAATGGGCCGCTTGCTTGGTCTTGGGCCTGTTGACAGTGCAGGAATGACGCTCCGCGTTCGCATGTAAGTTGCAACTAAAAGACCAGCGACTATTGAAGCAAGGTGGGGGGGCCGAGAATTGCGGGTTGAAAACAGGGGGATAAAAGTGTAGCTGGAACGAGACGATAAGCGTAAAAATGGGCAAGAGGGAGAATAAGAAGACGGGAAGGCTTGAGCTGTAGCATCCAAACCCCTATCCACCCTGCTCGATGCAGCAGATAGGGCACCGTTGATTATCCTTTGCGGTGGCCAGAGCATCAGAAATTTCTTCGGGGAAAGATTCATTGTATTGCGTGGGCAGGATACAGTCAGGTTGCCCAGGCCTAGACAGGAGAACGATTAGGGTTCTCAACCAGGACCTTTGGTTCAAAATCCTGACCGCAAGGCAGCGGGTATGGCGTTGGGCTACAAGGAGTCCGTTTTAAGGAATAAGGAGCCACCGTCGTTCCAACCCCGAACCTGGAGGACCAAGAGGCTGAGTTGGTCTGGCCTCTAACCATTGAACAATCTGGTATGAGTGGCTCTGAAGGTGCAAAAGCACTCCCCAGTATAGCTCAATGGATCACTGAGGCACACAAACCATGGCACCATGGTAAGGTCCAGCCTCATTGCGATGCTGGAGTGCGTGCTGGGGTTAACCATGATGAGATCCGAAAGCAACGACATTCGGGTTTAACCTGTCCTTTTGCGCACAATTGTGGATGGAGTAACTGTTGGTGGTAAGCTATTTCGCACCACAGTCCTACGAGTCTTCGACTGTGGCATGCTGACCCATTCTTCGGTCTTTGGTGCTATCGCAACAGTGTCGGAAATGTGTTGCGTTTGCCGTCATGAAGTGCCGGCATCTGCGTTGGTTAGCGAGGCGTGAGCTCATCATCCGAGGCGACCTAACCCCAGCCGAACAATGATGTGGTGGGCGCGTCGGGTGATCGGAAGATAGGTTAGGGCTCCCTGCAGTTCGGCACGTGTCACACAGGGAGGTACACTGTTGAAGTTTATGACATATTTCGACACTGGTGCCGCAACAAGCGACGCGCAGTCGTCCGTTATGTCGAGAACATTGAGCAGCTTTGGAACAAATGTGATTGCTTTGCTACGGGAAACACATTTAGAAGTCAATACACACATGTTACAAACGGACATGTCACACTGAACGCTCTTTATGACTGCATCAGTACAGGTCCACTCCCAATTTGGAATCCGTAACAAATACGAGATAATCAAGCAGTTGCGAACAGTAAACACTCAGCAGTACACAATTAAGCCTTACCAACGTTACGCTGCCGCGCAACCACCACCAGTCGCATTTGTTCTGCGCACACTGCGTAGGTCGCGCTGCCTCTAGGCAGGAAGGAAACGGCGCCGCAAGGCTACAAGGCAAGCGCATTACCTATAAGCCAGGAACCAGCAATAAAATGGGTTATCCAAGGACAAAAATGAGTGTACGGAGTCTCGGGGGAAAAGGCTAAAAAATAATTCAGTTGCTGAACCTGCACGACTAAAATGGTAACCAGTAGTAAATGTCCAATAGTAAACATAATGGCAAAATACAGAATCAATAATACGCGAAAGTAAAGGAACACCATCAAGGAGGTGAAACGCGCTACCGGCGACCGAACAAGGTAGGAGTACGTGACTGGGGCACAAGATAAAATCGCGTAGGCGCAGCAGTCGCAGACATTAGATGGTACTTTATAAATAACGGCGTTTGCTAATTGGTCGCATTGGTGTAATGCAACTGACCTCCAGCCCATGCCATTCTACGCTGCGTTACATTTGAAGCTATGGTTCAGCGCGTTTAATCCCCTATCAACCGCTCGACGCAGATTTGAATGCACATAGTTACGTTAACGAGATGCTGTAAATTCGCTAAGTAGATTAAACAATGAAATATAAAATCCCGTATGCGCATTATTGCATATTACGTGCATGTAAATGTTAACGCAAATATAAGTAAATAATAGTTAATCGTCGAATTTATTAATGTACCCAAATCAGTCGTGATCAAAATTAAAAAGCAGTTATGTTCCACAACTGTAAAGTTGCTAGGTACCTAAACGGCAGTGTCAGAAATTTGTACAGGCCGCAAAGCATTAAGGCTAATCAAAAGGTATATAGTCTTCCTTGAATGAGAACTATTTGGGTTGAAATGTGCATAGTGTAGCTAGTCAAGGCGCTATAAATATAGTGATGATAGAGAGTAGACAGGATCTTTTTCTTATACTTGACAAGTCAATGTCACTACCTGATTCCAGTTGGTTTGCCAATATGTAGTTGTGGGCAGTGACTATTTTATTGGCGAGCCACATCCGCCAACTCGCAAAGTTGTTAAACGGACGCTTGTTACACCGCTTTTCTTGGATGCTTTATGGAATTAATTTACAGTATTTGTAGTCCGTTTGCGACATTAACTTCCCGCAACATGGACGCTGATAATATCTTTTGTGAAAATTTTGTATGCACGAGCTTCCTTTGAGAGTCGGTGAAGCGTCCTTCAAGCGTCCTTTCGGCGCCCTAAGTAGAAACTTTTTGGCCGCAAAAAGGACAACGGCAAAATGTGCAGCAACCTGGTTTTTAAATGTATGCAACCTAGTACCCACTCATTCAACTGTGTATTATAGGTTGTACTTTCGCCAACACTTAACTCTCGTTAATGTGCGTCTACTTAGCGCTGAAGAAACAAGGAGGTGCGTAAGGCAGATGGGTAATTTTGTCTAAACCATGCGCAACACTAATATAATAGTAGTAACTAAAGTAGAATGTATGCACCATGCAGTATCAAAGACTAAAATGGTTATGTTTCTGAGCATATTTAATACAAACTACTGGCAGCCTATGCAGCTATTCTACGACTACTTTGTATTCGCTTGTGCGGACAGGGATGATTCGAAATTTTACTGTGAAACATTTTAATTTTATAAATAAGTAAATGACTAATTGATATGTCCTCGGTAAAAGGAGGTATATATTTGAAGGTGTGAACAAATATACATACAAGCATAGCTGTTTTGGATTTGTAAAACTTTTAATAAACAGTATAACCAAAATGATGTAGTTCATACGAGTGAAACTTTGGTCAGGTAATAGTCCGACCAAGGAACATGATGGCGCTGGGGCGCGTAAAAATCAGTTATACCTGTTGTGCCAATATTCGAGTTCGGCGTTATTTCGCCATGTGGTAAACCATGAGCCCAACAACAAAAGAAAGCTTTGGGTGCAAGCAGTGTCCATTAAATACTCGGAGTGTTTGTTGCTCCATGAAAGCATTCTCCGTAGTTAAATCCGTTGCACAGTTTGAACGCAGTAGTCTGCTGACAGCTTCAGCGTAAAAGGTTCAGCTGTGACTTTATTCAACGTCGAGGCACATCCGCAAACTTGTAGTATTGTTAAGCGGACAGCTGTGGCTTTCTGCAGGGAGATAGCCTACCGGGCGAAAACCCTTCACGTCCTGGAACACTGTGGTAACTACCGTTGGGCAGTAGCGCAAGTCGGCGATGCATCGTATAGACCGATTTTTGACTCCATTATTCGCAGCTGTTGGACGGCCAAAGCTCTTCGCTGGTTGATCGATTGGCTTGGTAATGAGCCAGGGGACAGAAAAGTCGTGTATTGGGAGTCAATAGCCTAATTACGGTTACACTAATGGGCAAATTCAAACCTGTGGTAGAGGAGGTGCATATGAAGAAAGGTAAGGTGAGCATACTAGTGAAAGTAACAGCAAAAACCCTCATAATGATATCCGAGTGCCGCTAGTAAGCGGTAGTAAGGTCAGAGCGAAGGAGACCGTAAGCACCAGGATAACTTATTTCGGCGCAACCAGAGTAAGCCGTACCGTGAAGGTAATAATTAGAAGCGCAATAAAAGGAAAGGCCATGGTTAATAGGAAAATAAAAGCAACAGTGATCTAGATGTAAATGGAAGAGAGCAAAATCGCTGCCAAACCATGATCGGAGATGGCACAGACGTTTGGCGT